AGAACTGCAGCCTGTGGGAAGGATGCTCATGTTAGAAGTTCGTGGAGAACTGTCTCCTGTGGGAGGGACCTGACACTGGAGCAGGGGAAGAGTGTGAGGAGTCCTCCCCCTGAGGAGGAAGGATTGGTGAGTGATCTCTCCCTGTCCTTATCTCAACCCACGAGCCTTTCATTATATTTTCTCTCCCCTGTCCACTGAGGAGGAGGAGTGATAGAGCAGCTTTGATGGGTGCCTGGCATCCAGCCAGGGTCAACCCATCACAGCAACCCTTATGACAACTACTGGATAAATTCTTCCCATTTTTTTCCTCAGTGTATCATAAGAAATTTAAAAAATAACTAAATATCACCTGGCTTCTTACCTGGCAAACAGCTACAGTAAAATTCACCAGTCAAATCATGGCAATGGCCTCCATTTTTGCAGGGCTTGAAGGAACATTCATCAATACCCGTGGAACAGTTTTTGTCTGACAGAAAAGAAAATTAAACATTAAAACTATAAATCACGCTGCGTTTGGGAAAGCAGAAAAGCTACTTCACAGTGCAAGTGACAACTGCATAATTTAACTTTACAGGTTGGAAACACTATTTTATTTCTGCTTGACAGCTTTAAAACTAGAGATATACGTAGATCATAGCTGATAGTTAACAAATTAAATATTTTTAAAGGAATAAGTATGAGCTACATTTGCAAATACATTCTGTGCGTATTCTAGCATTACATCTCAACACTATAATTACTAGGTTTATATCCCACATTTTAAAAACTATTTTAGAGATTTAATAACCTCAGTAACAGTAATAAGAAAAATATTTCTCAAGGTTGCTTCCATGTTTAGATGAATGAAGCCGTTTCTCAGATCCCAACAGAAAACCACAAATTCACTCAACTGTTTCTTCATTTTCCTGCTTTTAAAGAGATTTAATTGAGTTGTAATTCAAATTAATTCAAATCTGAAACAACAAAAATATAGGAAAACATATAGAAGACATATAGAGGAGAACATTTAGAAGACAATATAATAGGTGGCTTATGAATAGAATTAACTCATTGGGCATATCAAAGAAAATCCACAGGCCTTCATCTCCCTATTGTGCACTGCATTAACTTAGAGCAAGGTCTAGCCTGGTATAAATTATACTGGGATCTTTCTGATCCAAAATTGATCCAAATTCAAGGGACAACTGTAGAGATCAAGAGCTCCCACGAATACCAGAAGATACTCCAGTGACAGAGAGGGGAAAAATGTAGCTGTCACTGATGTGAGCGAGCAGAATGGTCTTTGGTATTCTACCCAGAAAGTGATGGAAGGATCCTTGTATCACTCAAATCATATATACCAGATACGTAATGCCTCCCAGGAATCTCAGAATCTCAGTCTAAATAGCTACTGAATTAAAGGATCATGTGGGGTTTCTGGGTTCCCCCTTGGATGACCAGAGCTCAGGCAATTATAGATTCATTCCAGCAATAAATGCATGGCTAGCAGATGGTGTCACCTGACAGTTTTGTCTTCCTTAACCGTATGATGTTCTTTGAGCTAACAGTTAAAAGTAGAATCTACATAAAAAATCAAACTTTATGAGCAGGAGGGAAAGTGATGAGAAGACAGAGGAAGGAAAAAAAAAACCCTTTTTGTACCATTTCTCTAAAATAATTATTTAGAAAAAGTTTTAAGGGGAAGGAAGCAGAAGCCCATAGACAAGGATAATGATAGAATCTAGATAAGACTTAAAAAGTATGTGGGAAATATTGCACACACGGATAATCTGCTGTATTTAATGATTCAGAACAGATCACAAGTCCAGTAAAACCAGTTGAATGAAAGCTTAGGTTTTCATAGTTTGTTTTTTTGTGTTTTGTTTTTGTTTTAAATAAATAAAAGAACCAGCAGAATCCTTAAGAACACAGAACTTGGAGTTACAGGGTTTTTAACTACCAAAACATCATTTTGGAAGGAATCATTGTTCAAAAATTCAAAGATTTTTGAATGTGCAATTGGCATTTTTTTCATGCGATAGTGGAAAAGGCAACTTCAAACAGAGATTTTTCTGGGATTTGATTCTAAGTAAGAGGGAGAAATAGCCTCTGAATATGAAGAAAGGAATGTGAAGAACTTGGGTGAGAGCAATCAAGATCCATGCGAAGGGAGAGGAGAGGGGGGTGAGCAACATAATAACAAAGGAATTCAGAAAAATTGCAAAGAATGCAGAAAATTTCTGATGTGAAACCTGATGAGTGGCTGAACTAAAGTGAAAAGGTAATTAAGAAAGTTGCTGTTTTCTTCAAGTAAAGCAGGACAAACTATATTTTTGTGGGAGAAAGACGCTGGGTATTAGGAGACTGACTTGACACTTCCTGGTTTTCAAAGGATGAAAATGCCCAAGTAACAAAAAACAGGTCAGGTTACTAAGTATAACCTAAGAAGTACAGCATAAGTATGTAGGCATGAAATCAGACCAGCAAAGGCACTGAATAAGATGCAGCTGTCATGGGATGGTCAGGGTAACAAGAAATCATGCTGTAAGTACTTCAGCATTAAAGATGAAGGAAAGATATGGTTTGCCATACCATGTAGAAGGATGGCTACTGATAATGGCAATCATGCCAAATTGTTCAATGCTTCTTTTGCTTCATTCATCAGTAAAAAGGTCAGCTGCAAGCAGATCGTTATCATAATTGATACCTATGATTAAAGGGCAAAACTTCAGTGTTGAATAGAGAAGGCAGGTTGGAGAATTGTCAGAGGAGTTAGATGTTCAGATAGGCTGGTCTGATGAACTTCACCCTTGGGTACCAGCTGATAAAAACTCAGTAGTTTTTGTGAACTTGTGGAAGATAGGTAAAGTACCTGAAGACTCATTAAAGTCAGTCTTTAAAAAGGAGTAAAAGACAGAGCCGTGAAATTATAGATCCATTTGTGTAATTTCAGTTCCTGGAGGAAATATGGGAAAAAGTTGCTAAACTCGTTACTTGTAAGAACCTATAAATATAAAATAATTTATAAAAAATGAGCCTTATATAAGCAAACCAATTCCCTTCTACACTAGAGTTACAGGCCTTGTGGATTAAAAAAAAAAAGTAATATATGTCATACTCCTTGATTTCACTAATGTTTCTGCTGCTATCTTGTGTGAAATGCTAATATTTGGACTAGATATGAATTACAAGAGAATATTATCAGATGAGTAAAAACTGTTGGAAAGCCATATTCATACATTAGTTATCAGTGGTTTTACTACCAAAATGGATGAATGCATTGCACAGATTTTGAAAGAGGTCTACTGTCCACCTAGTTCCACCGAATTTTTTCAACAAAAGTCTGGATGGTGGACAACAGAGTAAGCTTATTGATGGCAACACAAAAAGGTACATTGGAGGACAGGATTATAAGTCTTCATAAATTTTGACAAACTGGAGATAGAGTTTGAAATAACAAATATTATCGAATCAGAACAAGTGGAAGATATCATAATACGGCAAATCACAAGTTAAGTAGCAACAAACCCCAGAATTTTCTTTCAAATCATATAATGTGCTGGGATATATAAAAAGGAACATGGATAGTCAGAAGCTTGAAGTAATCCTTCCGTTCTCATCTAGGTGGAGTAAAACTGCATTTGGAGTGCTTTACACTGTGCAGTGAGCTGCATTCAGGAAAAATGTGGACCAAATGAAGACAGTCCAGATGAGCATGACAGGAAAGACGACGAACTCGAAAGCATGACTTCTTAGGATAAACAAAATGAATGGGGCTGTAAAGCCTAAATAAAGAAGATTTGAACAGAAATGTGATGACAATCATAAAATAAGAAAAGGCTTTTGCAAATATCTTTAGTTCTCTGTGTTCATAGCAGACAGGGTAAGAAGTAATGCATTTAAACCGCAGTGAAAGTCAGATTAGACGATAAGGAACGCCTTCTGATGGTTAGTATGATAACACACCGGAAAGATTGCCTGAGGAAAATAAGGAATGATGTTGGATTTCTTTAAGGTGAGACAAACACAGGTGAGAAATGACACAGTATAGTATATGTTTTCTGCTGGGATGAGGATGGAATAGATGATCGTTAGTGTTTTGTTCTAGTGTTATGATTATGTAACTTACAGGACACACACACAGTTTATAACACTGAAGAAGGTCCAAAGGCTTTTATGTTTGTGTAGTGAGTTGGATTGTCTGGAAATTTGCTTTGCCTCATGGTAGAGTAAAGGTCTTAAGTTACTTGGTGTGTGATAACAGAGCTCCCACTTTGGAACCTTGTGCTTCTACCCAAATCTGTGTCTCCACTCTGTCTCTCCATCAAAACACGTTTCTGTATTAGTCAGGTAAGACAGAGGTGAGTCCAGGCATGCAGTAAGTAAGAGAAGCAGAGAATAAAAGTATTAACGCTAGCAGGCAGAGACAAACACACACTTAATGCACACCATAAACATACATGGTTAAAATTACAAAGGGGTAGATGGAAAGTCCTGCTCTTACAAAGAGAGCAGTACAGCTCTTGGCACATTCAACCTATATTCACCCCTCAAGTCTTTCTCATCAGAAAATCATAATGAGACAAATGAGCCATTTCATACTTCCCTGAGACTCTTTTTCTGTAGGTGAATGTGAAAAGCCCTTACTCTATTATTTCAACACTGACTTTTAAACAGACTGCATTTCCACTCTCACTTCCTTTCCTGTATCTCCCTTCTACAGGAGAGCAAGCATATGCACTAACTGAAATATTGTGATAACTTTTGTTTAGTTAAACAGCACACTTTTCAATGTACTGCAGGTCACTTCTGGTTACTTGCAGCTGCCAGATACAAGCAAAGAAAAAGATATGTAGGTTATAGCTACTGAACTGTAGCTGAACTGTATGTGAGGAAACAACAAAAGTGATCTGAAAAGGACTGCTGAAAACCTCAGCATATGAGCCCTATTGCAGTGCTGTGAGGAAAAAAAAAATTCTCAGATGTATTTAAAAAACCAAGAAGGAATATTGATGTGTAAAATACCTCTGCATAAAACATTGACTACAATGTTCCATATTTAAAAATAAGTGGGAAGGATGCAGGAAAAGCTACACAATTTATTCAACAACTGAAGAAAGCATGCTGTCGGCAAAGGCTTAAAGAGCTCCATCTGTTTCATTTAGAACAAACAAAAACAAGAATTGACTTGATTACAGTGTATAAGTGTCTTTACAAAGAGAAAATACTTGGGTAGCAAGAGGCTTTTTCATTTTGTGTAGAAAAGGTAATGAGATGCAATAGCTCGAAGTTGAAGACAAAAACTTAAATAAAATATTTAATATAAACTTCTAAATCTGATGGTGATTACTACTAGAAAAAAATGCCAGTGAAATTCTGGCTTTTCTTCATGCATTCAAATCAGGATTGAACGCTTTTGGATTCATTGTGTGCTTTAATCAAAACGAAGTAATTAGGTTCAGTACAAGGTGGTTAATGGGCAACATT